ATTTTATTGCAAGCACTGTTGAATTTAAACATACACTATATGGCCTGAAATTACTGGAAACTGTGTACATATCACCCACTCCATGCACGTTTTCCACCAAGTCCCCCACGTTGCTAAAACTACCACATTTCTAGAAATGTTATATGACCACAGTGTCAACTAGACGCTAAATAACCTGCTGGAATGAGGCACATCCTTGTAAAATATGTACATATGTGGAGATTGAGGGGGTTTAGTGAGTTCATATAGACATGACATGGCTCTAACGTGAAGCTGCGCCACTATCAGGCTTCTCATAACCGACAGCCGAGGTGAGCCGTACGTGGCAGGTGCTGAACAGATTCCCTCCTCCGTCGCATTCTCATCCACCTACGCCCGGGTTGGGCCTCCCCCTCCCCAACTGTGATGACAGCATCCACGGTGGCAGAGCGGGAGAGACACAAGACAGTCTGGATTACCAATCCAGCGCCACAACATCGCCTCCCTAACAGGATAACACAGCATAATAAACTCCATAAAATAATCAAACTTATTACAACTCTTAACCCCTGTTTAATGCTTTCTGCTGAGCTTACGTGCGCCGCATTCACCGCCAGTCGAGCCACAAAAGAGAATAGTCTTATAAGACTAGAAGAACACGGACAGCAGATTGCGACGCCTTAATATTGCCTTTAATTGGATTTGTAAATGATGTGGCTGCATTAACACTTCCTGCAGCTCTGTGACTTGATGAAATGTTTAGAAGGGAAGAAAAAAAAAGAGGTGAAAGTCTTAAAGTTAATTAATCGTCTGTGGCCCCGGCTTAATTAAAGTTTCCCAGTGTTTGTAGTTAATGGGTGGATTGATGGAACAATGGCATGAACGCCCCCCTGCCACCACGAGAGCAGAGAGGGTCCGCAGAGAGTTCAGATTTCACAGCCTTTGATTAACACACAAACTTGGACGCCACTTTTTATGCACACACGCGCAGCTATAGGCATGAAAACACACACAGGGGCAGGAGAGTCCCCTTCAAACTTCCCACTCACAGATACCATTGCTCCCATTGAGGGATTCACATTAATTAGCTGGGATCAAAACCTACAAATCCCTCCGCTGAGAATTCAGCTGTAAACGCTACCTCCATCATCTATGCTACGTCCCCTGACGCACACGAACAGAACATGGCCGCATATCCACATTAGGGGGCCCGGGATAAAAAAAAAAAGAACAGCTTCTGGGCACCCTTTTAACATCCTTGTTCCTCCTCTTAGTGTTCGTATGCTGGCATGTTGCTTGGCCCCAGGTTTTCTTGGTTTTAAAGCCAAACTAATTCAGGAATACACACGACTAAATCAACCCAGAATCACTTAAAATACACAGTACAGTCTTATAGCTAGATTTTGACATGGCGGCCCTCTTAAAGTCATCGTCCTATTTTCCTTATTTATAGGCATCAACCCTCCAGAAAAGCAGTGGTTATCACATTCAGAACATCTCGGGTACAATGACTATTTGTTGTGTCTGTAAAAAAAAAAAGTATGTTGTGTACATCAGGCATCAATGGAGGCAATGTGGGAAAGTGCATTTTCCATTTTTTACATTTAAGCAAAAAGAAGTTAGGTCTCAAAATGTAGGAACCCTAATTACTAAAGGAGAATCTGTGGTATTGTAAATTGCTATCTAACCAAGCTTGTCCATATGCTGACAGCTTAGATTGTGCCACCTATTACAACTAAAATTAAACGAAAAATAAACTGTATTTCATGTCTCTCTCACCTTATCAGCCGTGAATCCCAAACAGGAGTACAAGTGTCCCAGGAGGTTCTTCTGTAGCAGCCTGGACATGTGGAAATATCAACTAAGCTCATCTAAAACAAAAAGAAAATAGAATTTAATTCAAGAATTGAGCTGACCAGGACAAGTCTGAGTCAAAAAGTAAACTTAAAGTAATGGATAAGCAGCACCAACAGCTAAAACTAATGCACAATTGACAAATAATGGTGAAAGGCTGAATAAATCTGTTAAAGTAGCTACCTAATAATATGGCTAACTGTTGGCTAAAAGTTTATTAAATATAGCTAACAGTTAGCTATGGATAAACATCTGAAACTGTTAGCTTAAAGTGGTGTTATAACTGATGCAGTTTGTTGAGATTGGACACCAGATGTATTTATTTACATCATGTATTTACAGGTATAAGTAGTCCAAGTTACCTTCAGGGTGGACAAAAGCCAAAACAACAAGTAAACACATTTATCTAAAGAAAACAAACAAGATAACCAAAACTAGCAAACCAATATACAGCATCTTATCAACTTGTGGAAGATAAAACAGGAGAAAAGAAGGTAAAAAGAAATGGCTGCTCACTTCGTACAGATGTGTAAAATCACCTGTGTGGCAGAAATCGACAGGTGATCAGTCTGGATACAGGTGCGGCAGGTTGGAAGGCGAGGAAGACAGCTGATTTCGCGCACAGCGTCAGCGCCATCTTGGATCGTATCTTCGTATGGACCAATCACCGGCAGGCCGGCAGTGGATTAACCAATCACCGGCTTGTACCTGGAGATCTACATTTGCATACAACGCCACACTCACGTTTGTTAAATACGGTGGGCGAAAACATGCGCCAGTCACATGAGAAAAGACGACCATTATAGCTAATAATTTATTTTGTTAGTTAAATATGAGGCCAATAGTTGAAATTATTAGCTAAAAGTGTACCTACCAGTTGTAACTGTTATCTAGAAGTATGGCTAGCATTTGAAATTATAAGCGAAAAGTGTGAAGGTTGAAATTATGAGCCAAAAATAGGGCTAAAATTAGAAATTGTTAACTAACAACAGGCTATGGATAAACAAATGAAACTATGAGGTAAACATAGTGAATGAACAGCTGAAATAGCTAGCCCAATTTGGGAATAAATGGGAAAATTATTAACTAAAAATAGAGCTAGCGATTGAAATTGGTTGCGAGTAGCATTAAGAGCTAAATGTGGATAAATAGCTAAAATAGTTAATTAAAGAATGGGTTTTTAAAAAATGAAAACTGAGCTAAAAGTATGCCTTAACAGTTGGAAATTGTTCGCTAACAGTGGGCTAATTATAAACAAATATAAGTTAATTAACAGTATAAATTAACAGCTGAAACAGGTAAAAGATGTAAACAATAGATTGATGTTTAAAAAATATATACTTGCTTAAACTTAAGAATTAATAGCTCAGTGACATACAAAATATAATTACATATCATTTTATATAATTGTTAAATAACATCCAATATAAAATGAGTTTAAATAACACATCGGAGCGTGACAGGTGATGTCTTTGGAGGTGTTCTGGAGTTCACCTGTCAGGCAAAAAATAAAGGTGAACCAATGTCTCAGAGTTTCAGGAGGCTTGTAGTTTTCTCCTTCCGATGCTTTGAAAGACTTTAAATGCGGTGTGTCACTGACATACCCATGAAATAGGCTTCTGTGAAAGAAAAAAAAAGGCCTCCTCCTCATGGTTTAAGCGCGATACAATTTCTGTACAAACTTGTGAATAACACCGCTCTCAGAAGGTCTTTAGGAGCGTAGACTTTGCACCAGACACTCTGCATTCTTTACAAAGTCTTTTTTAAAATTGCTATTTGAAATCGAGCGTTCTCTAATTTTGCACACATTCGCGGCTTCTTATCACATTTGCGTGGTGATGTACCGTGCGCGAGTGCCAAAAGTGCTCATTAAAACAGATGATTATTTTAAAGAGGTGATGCAACTCGGAGCAACTGCAGCATCCCGCCTGTCGCCCCGAGAGCTGGTGAGGAGCGCCCTCTGCTGGAACCACGACGTTACTGTCTACCCCTTTAACTACTGTACTCTTATTAAATAGCCTTACTTTATGCTGATCCTGAGGAAAAAGACAAACAACGTGGCAATTTTTTAAACTGGTTTATTGACATGTGTATAGCGATTGTCTGTGCACCGGACGATTACAGAAGAATATGTTATAAAATAATACAAAATAGCTGTACATAACACAGATATATTTAAAGGAATGCATTGTTAACTGTGAGGTTTTACGCTGTATAATACATGTCGGCTACTCACTCACCTATGACAAGGCGAGCTCATAAGTTGAGGAGGTTGAGGTTTCGCCATCTGAAATGAGGGTCAACTGATTTTAAAAAAGAAAAAAAAAGAAAATTAGGGAAGAGCTTATGATGTTACTGGTGGTATTAAACTGCGCTAAAATACTGTCTGAATTTTTTTTTCTAATCTAAAAACAAATTACATAACTAAGAACCCAAGAAAAGTAAAGAAAAATGAATATATCAGGTCAGAAAGCCAATGAGGGTGCCGCAACGACTCTCCATCCACATGCCAATGGTGTTACATGTCGTACTGTTTATATATATTTATATTTAAAAGCAGGATTCACTGGATTTGGCGTGATTTGTAAAGGGCAGAGATGTTTCCGTGCCTGTTTCGCTAAATCCCTTTACATAGAGACCCGTATATGGCTGACCTGTGGTGGCTCCACTGTACGCCCTCAGTAATTTGTGCATTAGATGTGCCTTCTTTCACATCCGATGCCTCGCTTATGTGTTTTTCAAAGTGTCTTTTACCAGGTTTCCTCCAGGCCTCGCCAGCTGGGAGTCTGAAATCACTAATCCTGAGCTACAGTAATTATCAACACTACGTCACTTATCCACCATCCGCCAAGTACAAATCTTGTATTTAGACTTCAAATGAGAACACATCACATTCTGAAGACAGCACGCTGACTTTCATTAGCTTTAAATGTTCCGCGATGGGCCTAAATACAAAAATGTAAACAAGTGTTGTTCTTGCAGTGAATTGGTTTGGTGGAAAATATTCGCATAGTAGTACAAAGTGGGATTCAAGAGGTCTCATTCACAAAGATCTATCAAGTATGAGGATTTTTTTTTTTTTTTTTTTTTTAGGCTGCTCTCTTTTTTTTGTTTGTTTTCTTTCTTCCAAAAATAAAACCCAAAACAACAAATAAGAGGGAAAGAAAATGCTGCAGTATTGAGGACTCGGAAGACAACTTGGTCTGCGACGAAACGCTCTCAGCATGAATAACAAGTTGGCAATCCACCGTGCAAAGTTTTTCGAGTATGTGTAGTGTACATACTGGATGTGTAGCACATGCAAGCTAGACACAATTTCCGTGTGAGTGTGTATTATCAATTATGTCTTCCATACTTGAGGCTATTATTGAAAATTACCAGACTTTTTTTTTTTCTTCTTTTTTTAGTCTTTCGAGCTAGTTCACCAAGCTACACCATAATATTCAGTTTACAAAAATAGTATCACAATATAGACCATTCAATATGAGCACCAGGGAAGGCTAAATATAGCCCGAGTATTTGGCTACATTCATTGTCTGGGCAATGTTTTCCGGTAGCATTGTGTGTAAGTGTGTTTGTTGGACACAGTGTTGGCAATGTTTTCTCACTCACAAGCTCTCCTACATCTACCACACGATTATATTTGGAAACATACACAACTTGCTTACACTGAGTAACAACAAAACCAATTGTCAGATAGAAAAATAGTTGTGTTTTGTTTTGTTTGTTTGTTTTTTTTTAACACTGAACATCTAAAAGAATTCCTCCCACTTTCCCCCAAATAAACCCAGCCCTCCCCATTTCCTAACAAAATAGTTTTTCTTTGAAACAACAACAACAACAAAAAAAAAAGATTTTCTTTTGAGGTTATATAAGGTCAAACCTAGTGACACTCCATCACACCAACATAGACCCTGTTTAGCGTAATTCAGTAACCAGAAGTGTGTTCAAATTAACAACAGAAGCAACAGAACATGTAGGTTTTTAGGACAAATCCAGCTGCTGTGTTGTTTTGCAGCCTAAACGTGCTGATTTCTGTCAGCGTAATGACAATAATGATACAGCTAAGCCCCATATTGTTCATATACGTATCAAATTTTGACTCAGAGTGAACTTTTATTTGGCAAATAGATCTTTTTTTTCTGGCGGGAGTTAACAAAAACAAGTGGCAAATATGGTAACAAACTGTGTTTGAGATGTTAACGATGAGTTTTAACTATCATATTACAAACTTTTCTACAGATTGTTGTCCTCTTTTTCTCGTCATGCTGTTTATCCTTCACATACAGAACTTTTGACCAGAAGCCTTCTCCTTTGTTTGTCTGTCTTGAAGAATTAAAGTCTCCGTGTTCAGTGTGTGCTGCAGCGCCTGATGGAGATGCTGCGACCACAACTGCTCATCAGGATGCTCTTAGTGCTGATCTTTGGATTCTTCTCAGATCCTACCATTCCTGCGAGCACAGGGGTCACTGCTGGCTTCCTACCAGCCCTTTGCGATTTTCCACAGTGTGGAACTCCTTGTACTTTTTTGATAATGCTTTGCACTGCGGCCACTGGACCTTGAAAACACTTGGATATGGCTTAATGGCCTTTCCATGTCTTGTGAGCAAGCCAAGGTCCTCACTAAGGTCTTTGGTTTCAGCCATGACTTGCCATTAACTAAGAAGCTAACTAGAGAACTACTGCATCAGCTGTTCTCAGTCTACAGTGCATGAAAAGGCTCCAGAACATGGTAGAAATATTCAGGATCATTTGGAATGGTAAAGAAACTTGTACTTTATCAAAGATTAGCAGCAGTTTTAAGAAGTAGAAAAGAATTTGGACATAAAATAAAAACATTAAAAAACAACATCTGTAACACAATGTCTGTCTTTTGTTGCTTATTTATGTCATTTTTCTGCCAGAACAAATCTACAGATCAAAACAAAATATGTCACTAAATCAAATTTGGCACGTGTATGAATCATTTTGGGCTTAACTGCACATGTGGAATGACTTAAATGCATATCAGTGGTTTGGTTGCTCATCTTTAAATTCTAGTGCTTTGGTTAGACCACACATTCTTGGATCACTGGTCTGAGACCTTGTTTGGAAATAAAAGAAGTGATGAGATTGAACACGCCTCTGGTTGAGCCCTTAACCTGGAAACCATTTCAGCCATATTTGAAGGGACTGCTGACCTAACACCTGGCTAAACATAGCACAACATCTAGCTTATCTATGGGAGTGCTATTATTGCTTTAGAGGGTTGTGAAGTGGCGTTTACCCAGTTTCATTCCCAGCCTTTGTTTATCCTCATCCTGCTTCATAATTAGGATAAGATCTTCGGCACGCAGCGTTCCCTCTGGTGCTACAGAGCTAATCAAAGAGTCGGCAGGTTTTCTTTCCATCCAAATACTACACAAGGGATCTCATTTATCTCATTTACGAGGGTGTTTGTGCATAGATTTCACACTAAAAGGATATGTCTAGACAAAAGATGAAAACCGCACACACTCAAAATGTCCTGATTTGAAAAATGGCTAGCAATTCCCCCTTCATGGGTCACTAAGAATTTAAAACACTGAATGGAAGCACAAGCCTCTGATGTGACCTTGTAACCTCCCACTGAGAATAAAGCTAAATCAGCCGGTGGTTCAGGAAGGGGAAGTATGAAACGCAGAATGCAAATCTATAACGAGACTTGATGTGAAATATAAACGGAGGTGGTTTTTGCAGAAGTTGAGGCCAGACGGGCAGCATTTCATGTCGACATGTTCTAGAACTTAACATGTGGTGAGATTTCAGGCCGAGAAGTGCAAGAGGTGGCGCTTCACCGAGTGAAGAGCACACAGACCTGCAAGAAATGCAGGCTAACTGAGAAAAAAAGGCCATTCCTTTGTTACGAGGTGCGATCAAAACGTCCTGAGACTTTGCCTGTTCAGTGTGAACGAAGCGTAATGGTCACGTGTGCAGCATGTGGGAGCTGTAACTGTCCGTCAGAAGGCAGAGTGACACGCTGTTAACACCAACACCAGTGTTACACATGTGTTTGTGAACACCGGAAGGCGGAAGGGGAATATTTGCAATTTCTTTGTGGAGTTTAAACATCATGTTTTGTGTCAGTTTACAGCTGGATGATCCAACCTTTATGTGGAGGATCAGTGGTGATGAGAGGAGGGTGAAAAGAAGAAACAGCAGTTTTCACAGTGGAAGTGCCACAGTCTAGAAGACCGGACAAGGAGCCTACAATATGATATCATAGAGAGAAGCTCACACATCCAACTATTTGAAATTCATCAGGATGTCAAGGCAAAGATCTCGTGTAAAATCTGAGGAAGAATATTCGGTGTAAACGACCTTAACCGTGATGGCATGAAGGGGCTCTGACTGCATTGTGTGCTCGGTCACAACGTGGTGATTACGTCTCTTTGGCCACAACAACACAATCATTCTCTAACCGGCTCTATGCTCCACATTTGACTCAAATCGAAGGGTTGCTGTTTTGAATGAGGTGGTGCTGGACATGCTTACAGAACGGGGACTTCAAGCGAGCGTTACAAATGCTGCAGGAGCACTTTTGTGTATCACTGCACAACAAGACCACTGTGAAGACTGCTTTCCTACGGTTTCTGATGAGTTGACTTTATTTTGGCGCAGACTATGAACTTTTTGATCGCACCTCACATGTGCAAAAAGCTACTTGCCATTTTATACTGTGCAAGGTGTCTAATACTGAGTAAAGTGTTCAGGCCTGATAGTTATTATGAGGATGTGTCATTTCATAATGCTGTGAAAATGCATGTTTGAAAAGCGTTAAGCAGCATCGTTTAAGCTCCTGGGTAAGTACTTCTGAGATCTATGTCTTCAGCTGGCATTGTGGTGGCTGGAATTTAAAACATCAGACTCCTGCATGACAGAGGACTGGACATGTCTTAGAATTTAGAGCAAACACTCTCCACATGGCAGCGCTGATTGATCTGCCATGCTCACCTATCCTCCTGATCTTATACCAATTAACGAGCTCTGAAGGATAAACAAGGGGAAGGATTCGTCAGCACTGAGCTACATTCAGTAACGCAACGTTGCAGAGTGTTGTTGTGAACTCAGACTGTGCGAGTGCAACACCCATAATCTAATAATAATCTAAGCACTCCGTATTGTTACCTCTCCACACTGACTAACGTTTGCAACACGAATGAAGCTCAGGTAGCTTCTTGTTATTGTGATGGTGGTGGCTGAGGAGTGGCGACTAGTCGATGGGGCCCTGGAAGATGAGCCTCGTCCAGCCGGGGGTGCTGAGGGCAGTGGAGCAGAAGGGGCAGACGGGTCTGAAGGCGTGCGTCCCGTGGGGCAGCGGAGTCTCGGCCCAGTACCTGGCTGTCCTCTCCGAGCAGACGTGGCCACACGGCACAAAACCGTGAGTGGGAGCTCCGGCGTCCACGTACACTGCAGGCTCACAGCCCAGCCACAGGGGCACGTAGGGGCCCACGCTCCTGCACAGGGGACATTCTCGGCGGGTTGTGGAGCCCTCGCCCTCTCCCGGTTCCTCCACTCCCTCCGATCTCTGGCCCCAGTCGTGGCGTCCGTGGACGTGGCCGCAGGCGAGGTAGACCCAGGGCTGACGCTCTTCAAGGCTGAAGTGACAACATCAACAGAGAGCGTCAGTCGTGTTAACAGGAGTTTTGTGGCTGCTTGTATGTAACAAAACACAAAAACACAGCAAAGACTTTGCTCACAGGCACTCCTGAAGATGGAAGTAAATAAACATCCTAATACAAAATGTTCATTATGTTTGAAGTGACATAAAGCTGCTTTCCACTGCAGGAACTTGCTGGATGTTTTAGGATGGTCTGAACCTTTGTGCATGTTCCAAATGCCACCTCAGAACCTCTTACAGGGCTGTTTACAGTTAGAAAAAAGTATCTACTTCAGGGTAGGTACTTCTTTGTGGTCCTGGCAACTGCTTTGTTGTTTGAGCGGCATTTCTCAGCCCAGTCTTCTCCTCTCAACCGTCACCAATGGAAATTCCCCATCTATGTGTACATAGGGGGAATTTCCCATTGTTGACGGGGATTCACACACATATGAAGGCTGATGGAACAGATCTCCGATGATTTGTACACCACAGTGGAAACAGAAAGGCTGACAGAGCTGTTCGTGTTTGTGCCACCTCATGCCTGCCTCGATGTCCTGCAGTGGAGAGTTGCCTGTGATAATGAGGTGTGACTGTGGGCCCCACCTGTGGCTCCGTGGCAGGCTGGGGAAGGCCAGTGTGCTGAGGCCTACAGGACACTGAGGCCGGGACGCGTTAAGCTCCTGACGAAGAGCCTCCAGGTGACGCAGGGTGGGAGCTCGCATGAGCCCCTCACCTGTACGCCACAACAGTGTGGCACCACACAGATCAACCAGAGAACCGTCTCGTAGTGCGCTGCTCTCTCCCTCCGCCTGGAGGGGACAGACCAACACAAGCTGACAATCAAAGCGAAAGGAGGCCTCGATGAAGCCAAAAAGGAACCAAAGCAGCAGCAGCAGCAGCAGCTCACCAGTTTGCCCCGGCTGGGTCCAGAACGGGTTTCCCTCAGAGCATAAACATCTCCACAGACAGAGATCTCCCTCCACAGACCCTGCTTGGGGTCCTCTGGGAATCCCTCCGGATGCATAACCAGAACCCCGTTGGTTGTCAAACCGTCCATGTGCCCGTCAGGATTTTTCCATTTGGTTGCTTTCTCCTGCAGCAGCAAAGAAAATGAAAGTATAAAACCACCCCTCATCAAACTGAGCTAATTAAGTAAAAAATGACACCTTGGCTTTGGCTTTGTTCTTCTCAGCAGTGAGTGGATGAATGACTTTTTTTTTTTTGATTTATTGTGTCATGTTTGTACAGTAACTACACCAACATAGATCCCAAGACTGAAGTGCTGCTTAAACATTTCCACAAAATAAAAGTCAAAAAATGGAAAAAGCACCTTAAGCATCATTCACAAATTTACAAACATCCTTCACAACAGAATTCAGAGAAGAATATTCCATCCTGCCTTCTTGTACGTCAGAAACTCATACGTGTCAGTTACATGAACATCTGAGGGTTTTGTCATTTACACTTTAGCAGCACATCTGCGGTGTAGGGTTGTGGCAAGACAAGACTGAGTTTTTTGGGGGCAATTTGTCTTCAGTTTACTGGTTTAAGTTCACACCTACAGACTACTTCATTTATAAAGGATAAGGTTCCTGATTGGTAATACCATCACAACAAACTCTGCCATTGTGATCAAGACTTTAAATCATAAGCCCTGTTTGACACCATAAATGATTCACAAACTTCATGTGTTGAGTGGTGCCACAGTGCAACAGTGCAGAACTTTTACATATAAAATAATGTAAAGTCAGACAGGCTCCCACGTCACTGGTTAAGCTCGAGGTAAATCTCTTGTGTTTTGTAGTACAGTGGAGGTTTAAATCTGGTGTCTGCACATGGGCAGCAGTATGTTTTATGTCAGCCAGCAATGATTAGTTTGCCAAAGCTGAGGAGCAAAGCAATTTTAGTGACAGAGATAGAAAAGGCTACAGGAAATAGAAGTATGGTGGAGGATATGGAGGAAAAACCTATGAAGAAAAGTCTCTGATGCTGCAGATAAAAAAGAAACTTGAGAGGAAGTCTAATAAAGAGAGAGATCGATGGCGAGACATACGTCATAAATACCAGTCGGCAGGGTTTGTGTAATTACTTTCACTGCCTGAAGGGAAGGTTTAAATCACCATAATTTGTACAGAACAAAAGAAAATTGTTCTGTGAATAACTTAAACAGTGATTCTAAAAATACACTGTCATTAGAAACCTCTTGTGATTGATTATCACGTCGACTCACCCCTAGGAAGATATTTTTGGAGGAGTCGAAGCCCGCGGCGTAGATGCGTGCCGTGTAGGGAGGGTTGCGTTCGCACACCACTCTGCAGGCGAAGCGGGAGATGGTGCTGGGGGCGATGGAGGGGTCCTCGCCCTCCTTCCCCCCTCCGGAGGTGTCCGTCACCACGAAGTCGATGGGACTCTCTGTGGAGCGTCCGATCTGCACGGGACAGCGAGGAGAGATCACAGCTGTAAATCAATTAAATTACAGCAGGGTCTTGAAATTTCCTACATTTTAATAGCTTTCTCTAAACCACGGATGCTCATGCTTTTAATGCTGTGAGTGATTTCACTGAGACTGTTCGTCATTTTTTGGACGTTAAACAAATCTGTGACACTATTATAAGAGCAGAGTCTTGTGCATATAAATAGACTTTCTTGCGGATATTACGCAAAAGCCTTTATTTTTAATGGTCACAGTTCTGAACCAAAATAATCTTCCCAGTGTAGAAGAGACTTTGATGGCATTACATAAGAGTGTATTTCGGGAGAAACTCGCACGTGATCACAAATCGAGGATTATTTTCTGCTGTCAACGCTGTCATCGCTGAAGTAGGACTCGTGAAAAAACGTTGACCTTGTTTTCTCGATTTCCTCGGTGCGTTACCTGGAACATGTCTGTGTTGTTGTCATGGCAGTACTCCACCACCACTGTCTGGTTACGGGACAATGTGAAAGAGATGCTGTGCTGCCCCCTGCTGTGCACCGCCTGAAACAACAACAGCAGCAGCAACAAGATGTGTTAGAGCACTCGTTTTCTAAAGCAATTTATCAGTTTTTTTGACAATCCAAATGCTTGACTAAATAATGTAGCTACTCAAAAACACAAATTGTGATTCATTAATTTAAAATAAACGTTGCACTAAACATTAGCCCGAGTAGGTGACTAGTAGTATGCATGACATTAAGCATGCTCAGTCTGCACACAGTAAAGACTTAGTTTTACTTAATTTGACCAAAATCTACGTATTTTCCTGTTATGTCTGACCGTTGGATGTACAAAAATGTCTTTTATGCTTGAGTACAGGAAACCTAAATTCTCAAAACTGGTTAAAAAATATGAATTGCTGCTTTTATTATCAATTCAATTATAGTTTTGGTGCTGCTGATTTTCCTGGCTCTGGGTTAAAAAAATCTTCTATATCCAGAAAAACCCTGGTAAAGTAATATTTTAAGTGACGGTGGCCCTCGACACTAATCAGACGGTGGCAAAACATTAATTTGTCTTCGTTTTATAAACGACAACATGTGTCAGTCGTCAGGCAATCATGCATTCTGATGCAGGAAGACACGGCACACAAAAGGACAGACCACATACGCCCGTCTTCGTGATTAGTCATCCTTCCTCTGGCACACTTCTGAAAGACTCACAGGAAGGAAACTAACGCTGCACACTGATAAAACGCGAGCGCAGACCTTGCTGTCCTGTGGCGTGTTGAGGATGTGCACGGCGCTGGGTTTGACACCGTTGGCCTTGGCCCTTCGGTACAGAGCGAAGCGGCTCTTTCTGCGCCCACGGTCTCCGCTTGGTAGAGAACCATTGTACCTGGAGAGAGACAGACGCACAACGACAAGCACAGGAAGGAAATATGAAACAAACAGATCCTCATTAACGCTGGTCCCCTCTCCCACCACATGATAGACACACTTCTTATGCAACACAAACTTGAAGTAAACATGAACATAAACAAGTGCAGCCACAAGTTTTCGGCCACGGATAGCAGAAGGCTAAATTACTGGAACCATCCAACACAGGTACTTGCTACTTAAATCTACCTACACACCTGAACCAACCACACTTATTTATCAGAGAAAAATCAAGTTAGCAGCTTGTTTGTTCAGCAGAAGAACAGCCAGCTCAGATTAAAGTTGCTTCTGGATGTAACCCTTTGAATACACTTTGCCAACGTTGATGTAAGCGTTAACCCTCTGAACCTCCAGCATGTTGTTTGTGCTCCAGTCACCTTTTTACTCACTGTGGGCTCTTTTTTTTACTGCAACATAAAGTCCTTCATCTCTATGGAAACAGCACAACCACGGCAAGAAGTAGAGAGAACTACTGTCTGAAGCATTTATACTGCCATAAATCAAACACAAAAAGAAAGTTGAATTTCTTCGATTACTTATTTTGCAAGAAAAAAAAGGTAAATTTTTCTAAAGCGGCTCTACATACTATAGATATTTTACAACTTACATTATTCATTTGTTTCCATACGTCTCCTCTCTGCTCTGTGTAAACACAGCCTGCAGTTCGGCTGAATAGTTACAGATTTTTTGTCAAGTGACTGCTGGTCACAGCTGAGTCAGTCGTGGCTTCACAGTTGCACCAACAAGTACAGAATTGTTTTTGTTTTTTTCTTCAGGATCTGGTGCTAAATAAGAAATGTAGAATAAAGTGATTTTGATTAAAATATCATCATTTTAGCCTTAGATTTAGTTAACTTTCTGGATGGGGCAGACTATGCTGATTTCAAGTACTGAAGGAAAGTTAAAAATCTGGCAGTTCTTACTGTGTTTTTATGGTTTTCTTTCTCGGAGAAATTGTGTAATTTTGGTGATTTTCTTTTTAAAGATGAAATGATTTGCAAACATTCAAGCAGGTTTTGGGGTTCAGAGGGTTATTCGGTTCATTGTCAAACTGTTAGTTTTATCTGGGTTGTGTTTGCATCGTTGCCAGTGTTAGAACAACTCATTTTTTCTGCAGGATTTTTTGTCACTGAATCATTCTTTTAACCATCTGAGGGGACATGACAACAGCGAGGAATGACACTCCCTCTCAAAAAAATACGATGCCACGACAAGGTGCAGAAGTCTAATTTCCTCTCAGACCATTTAAACTACAATTTGCTGAAAGATTATTATATTATTTCTGTCCGGTGATGCCAAAAAGGATGCCTCCGCCAGCTGTAAGGTATCCACACCGGACTACAGCACAACCACATGTACACACACATTAGCTCCATCTCTGCTGAGAAACCCTAATGGTGGTAAAAACACTTATCTTGTTTGCACACAGTGTTTAAATGTCATCATTTAAAGTGCCGCTGAGCTGCCACTACGCCTGTAGAAATAACTGAAATTAATCTTTACGGCTACATCGCTGCATATACACCTCTGAAATGAATCAAAGCAGCGCGTACGAGCCACTCGTGATTGGTATAAAAGTGCTGAACCTCGATGAAAAGGACAACCGGCACTTGATCTGACGCACTCAGCCTGTACTTAAGGCCCACGTTCACCGGAGAGGAGCTTCGTCTAACCTCTCCTTCTCATGTAAAGCATTGTAGCAAGACAGAATTATCTCCATGACATCGCTGCACAATTACATTAAAGCTCTGATTATGTGCTCCAGTTAGGACTTTGAATGCTACTTTGAAGGTATGCGTTTATTAATAGAAGCAGAAATGAAAATTCTGATTCTTCGCACGGGTGTGGTAAATAATAAATTCAAATCCAGACGTTTGAGTGTTTTATAATTCAATATCAACCTTTTAATGACGTTAACACGGTTCTGGTGTTAACGAACGTACTGATTTTCTTTTGAAGCCGAGTCAAATGACAGAAATGTTCTTAAACGAACATAGCACCAAAACATAGTAAAAGTCCTCTGATTGATACAATATTATAAGTGTCATCATTATATTATTAACAGCATCAGTGTGTCAGCAGCAGGTTACTGTTGGAGCGGCTGCAGCTTTAAACTACTTCATATCTACATACAGGGACAGCAGCTACATCTGAGGGCTCCTAATATGATAATTATGAGAAGCAGGAAGAGAAACCAAAGTTCTCTGTTTTCAGTTTTGGAAGTTCTTCCTCTAATTACTGATTATTGGCTCTGCTGAGTATTTATTGAAATGAAACCGTGTGAGAAGTGGTGGAGCTGCTCACAACTCACACATCTACAGAGTACACACTGCTTGTTTGGAAGGAGACGTAAAAGTTAGAAAAGTAATCTTTAGCTGCACTTTAAAAGCTTAATCTATTAACCATCGTGTCAAATCTGCATCTAGAAAAGCTGTCAGATAAATTTAGTGGAGCAGGAAGTCCAATATGTCCCTCTAAAACGTTGTGCGGTGGAAGTATAAAGCAGCACCACATGGAAAGTACTTCAGATTTGTAGACAAGAACAGTATTTGAGTACATGTGCTAAGTTAATTTCCACCATTGTCAAACGCCATTTTCACAGTTTGAGTTCACACAGAGGGCAGTATGCCGGTTTTAGGCTCTTCACTAATCAGCAGGACATGGTTCTTATTAAAACCATTCAGAGGAAACTCAGCAGGCAAGAAGACCACAACAATATAGACAATAAGTGTGCTTGCTGGCCTTCAAACCTGATCAGATCAGAGGGCATCTGGCGTGTCTCCGCTCTGATCCGCCTCACACTGAGGGTCAAAGGAACCACTGTCTGCCCTCCGACAGCGTTGGAACAGTTCAGCCCTGAAACTGCGATTGATTCATCAAGCTCGAGCCTTTTTCAAAAGAAAATCAGCCGGTGGCCATTCTGAAGTAACTCATCAAATGATAATGCGAGATTCTATCTGATCAGTTGTTTTCAAACAAGAAATCTTTTTTGTCACCTCCTTACACGGCTGCTCTGCTGTGTTTAATGTGGGCCCTTAACGAATGTGCTCAGATAATTATGATGATTGCATTATGCTGCAGCTGTTTGTTGGGAGATCCAGTCTTACTCACTGTGCACCTGCATTCTGAAACAACATCAAGAACAATCTAAACCTTAACTTTTTATTACCCTAAAGGCAATTTAAGTTGCTCATTTAACCTCATTTTGCTCACTTTTGTTGCAGCTGATTCACCTCGTCTTGAATCTTAACTGGATTTATTCTTCTGAATGTTTTTTTAAATCATTTTATTAATTTGTCTTTTCTATACAGTTACTGCTAATTTCAGTATTCTTGCATTTGAACGCCTACATCTCCTATATGTTTGTGACACTGCTCTACCCTAATGTAGCTTCGAGTTTAAATGAAATGTTTATTGGAAAAGTATTAAAATTGCAATATGGCAAAATGCAAAATCCAAATCTCAGGAGCTGCAATTGTTAGTCAAAGGTATCACAATGTACTATTATAAATGAGCCACTTCCACAAATAATATTCTCCAGTTCTAAGGGAACATGCTCGTTTAGTGCAGACAATCACATCATTTTATTTTTTCAGTGGAAAAGAACACTTTCCAACCCACTAAAATCATGACTCGTATCACAACATCTGTCAAAATAACTAAGTCAGATATCAACATTTAATTAACCGATTTCAAATTCCCATTTTAATTTGAACCGGTGAAATGACTGCATGGCAAAGGCTGCAATTAGGGGAATGTGTTACGCAGCAGGGCCTGACCTGCCTCATAAACCGTCATCGGGTTTACAAACTCTGCCGTCCTCCTCGTGTGACAGTTACCGATCCAAGGCGCCCGCATGTAAACATGTGAAACCCAAAGAAAACACTAGATGCGAACGCTGAATTTGTACCTGACGGGAGTGTTTCAGGTTTGAGACGAGAGGCGGTGTTGCGTAACACCTGTTGCTGAACGTTCACCACATCATACGGCAACACCGCAAACTGTCAGCAGTTTAGGAAGCACCACAGGCAGCTACCTGACAAACATGTGGCCAAACAGTCAAGCGACAGCAGTGATGCTCTCACCCAGTCTGTTAAACAAATTACTATTTCGGCGACTATTTGTCACTGTTACTCAGTATTAAAAGTGCCGACGAAGGTGCCACAAGGTAGCGAACATGACAACACACTATCCCACTAACAAACTCCTCTGAATGCTGAATAGGAGATCCACACTCCCGCACTTACTTCAGTCACGCTGCCCTCCAACAACTAAAGAAAAAGTGGAGCTGAACTATGTGGAGTTAATATTGTGATAGCATCTCATGTGATAATGCTTCACTGCATGTTAAATCTGATAAATGTGAATAGGGGCTTTACTTTAACCCTCTGAGATCCAAAACCCACTGGCAGGTTCAAAAAATGCATTTAAGAAAAAAAACAAACAGAAAATACATAAATTGCTAAAATGATGCCAGATATCAGAACCAAAAACTGTAAAAACAGAAGGATTAATTACATTTATAATCATTTTACACGCAGTTCTGTCAAAAAAAAGCACCAAAGTCGAACCTTAAACTCATCCATCCATTATCTATACACCGCTTTATCCTCACGAGGGTCATGGGGGGCTGGAGTCTATCCCAGCTGACTCAGGGTGAAGGCAGGTTCACCTGGACAGGTAACCAGTCTATCACAGGGCTACATTTAGAGACAGACAACCAAGCACACTCACATTCACACCTACGGACAATTTAGAATCACCAATTAACCTCAACATGTTTTTGGACTTGTGGGAGGAAGCCGGAGAACCCAGAGAGAACCCACGCTGCACGGGGAGAACATGGAGACTCCACGCAGAAAGATCTCGGGTGTCCTCACCAGGACACAAACCGCTGACCTTCTAGCTGCGAGGTAACGATGCTAACTACTGCTCCACCTTGCAGCCTACCTTAAAATCATTTCCTAAAAATCCCTTTATTCAAGGATTCAAGGAACTTTATTTGTCATGCCAGCTCCCATTCACACATCAGTGGTATAAAATTTGCACTCAGGTCGCGTTTTTTTAGGAAAAAGCCTCATAAATATAAAGTACAATAAAACAAGAGCAAAATAAAAGCAGCGAGGTGGACTGTGATATGTTGTATGATGTATTATGCGATGCGTCTTAAATATTATTTGCCAAAAATAAAACTTTCAGACTAGCTAGATTCTGTAAAATAAAATAAAAAATCTGGTGCTTCTCAGTGCCATTATAGTTCCTCCAGCAGTCACATGACAAAAACTCAGGAACCACTCAGCTGAACTGCAGACTGTGTTTACACAAAGCAGATAGCATATAAATATGAAAACAAGGTAAAAGTTAGCATGTTTTCACCATTTTTTTCTACTGTTGGTGACACCCGTGTGCATCTGGAATAATGTTGTACATGTTATTTCCAATTTTTTCAATTTTTGTAAAATAAATAATGAAGGAAATTCCACTTTTCTGTCATGACTGTATGACTTTACACCTGTGTCATACTGCACAGAAGACATTTTTGAGTTCCTTCGACCTCTAGTCGTGTTTGTTCTGTTTCCAGGACTTTATATTGCAGTGAAAAATGAGGATACAGTGAGAAAGAATGTGTCTGGAACAAAAAAATGTCGAGAAACTGCTGGGGGGCTCAGAGGGCTAAGAAATTATAGCGCAAATCAAACTGCAATATCTTTTAGAAAAATCATAATTAGATATTTTCCCTACCAAGTCCTATCAAATTCTCTAAATAGCACAGTGAAAGAGTGCAAAATACTTACGTTTTCTTATAATATCCTGCTATACTTCTTTCAGTAATAGAACTTAATTCAGCTTGTGGCGGGAAAAAAAAAAAAGTAAAGTGGTTTTGATGTTTAATTTCTGAGTGTGTCTGCGGAGAAGTTTGTTGACATCATGTATATTTAATGAGCTGTACTTCCAAGAATCTCAGCGCAAAAATAAATGCTCCTCAGGTCAGAGCAGGGCAGTGATATATATATATATATTTTTGTTTGTAAATGTGGTGTCCAGTAAAAAAACACATGACTCAGTGCTAACCTGAGCCCTCCGTGGCCCGGCCTGTCAGTACAATCTGAACTGTGACTGACGAGGGAAAGACTGGGTCAGGAAGAGGAGACACATGAGGACAGAGCTGGAGATACGAAGCAGGGCAGAGGATAAGAGGGCACAGGAGAGAAAATCAGCTTAGGGAGAGAGCGAAAAGGCACAAGGTTGACCGAAACAGAGACAGAAAAGCAGTCAGAAGCTATCATGAGTATTAGGGCCAGAGAAGCTAAATGAACGGAACGAGGGAAAGGGCACAAAGAGGAAGGGCTGGGAGACGAAGCAGAAGGTCGAGGGGAAGAGGCCTGTGGAGGAGCAGCTCCATAAGGTGCAATTACGGGCAGCTCTGACCTGCATCACGCATGTGCACACATCATAAAGCACAATATGAAATATTCACTCCTTCTGCCCCCCAACACGGGGTTTATTTTCGTTGAGGGCAAGTCACCAAGGAGGCCTGCCTCCCTGAAAGTCAGCGCTCAGCAAAACACTGGAGGGGACTGGGTGAGAGACTGCGACAGAGACCGTGGGAATTAAAAGGTGCACGTGTGTGTGGGTGTAAATACATGCAGAGGACACGTTTTCGTAGTGATGAGTAGGTTATGAGCAGGTCGAGTGTCGTTGGGCGTGCACGGTGTCCAGTCAAACTAAGGTAATGAGCGATGGCAGGCAGCCACTGCAAAGATCACATGGCCTGCAGTGAAGCAGGCATCGACCACACGGGGCATGTGATCATCAAGGCTGACAGATGCAGAGTCAAGCTACAGTTGCACAAAACAGGCCTGGAAAGTATGGTATCAGTCAGGAAGCAGCAGAAAGAACAGCCTGTCCTTACACCGGCTACCTACTGCATGTTTGGGGACAGAGGAGCTGGTCATTGGCCGGGTAATTAATGACAACATCAATGTTAACGTGTCACCTACTACTGTAAGCAGGTTGTAAGTCGTTTTATACAACAGAATTTTACTCAGCCCTTGTTTAAAACCACACAGAAGCTACCTAACAGCCTTGAGCCCATCACTCCGGAAATGTAAGATCAAACCACCAAACCTCAACCACTGACGTTTTAAAGTCAGCTAACACAAATGCATTTTCAGCCCTAAACGAGCCACATAACGGCGCACACCGCAGCTTCTGTTGCACTTGCCAAAAAACCCTCAAAAACAGGCCTCCACTATCACTTCTTCTCGCTTCCCCATTCAGATCAGTGCATGCAAAAAAGGGCCGCTGTGTTCAAACAGTCAGATGACGAGGAGGACGGCTAATCAGTATTCTGATGCGGGCGGGCTCCAGCCTTCCTCGCTCCATGTTCAGCCGGAGGGGAAGAGATAGGCCATTAGGTCAGTTATCTTTGGCTTACACAGGAAGCTCTGCGGGGCAGGAGGGAGGCCTGTGTGAGCCTGGATGTGACTCTGTATGTGTGTGTTGTGGCATTTCTGGTCCCTGCAGACCCTGCACAGTGTGGAGGCTGTAGGGCTGGAAATGCTGTGGAAGCTGGTGGCTGTCATCAGCACATCCTGTCTACTGTGTGCACTGGTGATGTAGAGGGGCTTTTCCTCCTCCTCCTCATCCTCCTCATCCTCATCATCCTCCACCTCCTCCTCCTCCTCCTCCTCCTCCTTACTGCTGCCTGGCATGGATGGTCATCTGGCTTTATCAATTAGTAATAACAAGGATGAGAGAGGCTGTGAGCGAGAATGCATGCATTTTTCAGACAATGATATCCTCCTCAGTCCTACTTTTAGCAATCCTGCACAGTATGACATCATTGGGATTTGCAGGCTGAGCCATCCAGCGCTGCTTTACCCCCCACTACAACCATTGATGAAAAGCTACATCCGTAGTAGCCATATGTACTGTGACTACAGCACATTTTGCGCTCAAGAATGCCACAAAGACAGAAAATATGCATTCATCTGGAGCATAAACTTACTTTACAACATCACTACAGAGCCACACTGGTGGTAAAAACGCCTGCAATGTGGAATAAATGAGAAATAAGCTCAATTTGTGAAACCATGACGAGTTTATTACGTGAAAAAGGGGCGATTTTTGTGCAACAGCATTAGATTAAAACACGTTTATTGCGCTGATGGAGCCGCTACATATTTAATTTGCCGAAGCTGTTTCTCGCTTCTTTTTTTTTTTTTTTTTTTTTAAAGAGACTTACCCCAAAATGACCAATTCGCCGTATTTTACCGGGTCTTTAACGGGCACATCATCATCTCCGTCTTTTTTCGGTGAATTCATCAGACTGGACTGCTCCAGAAGAAGAAGAAAAAAAATTTAAAAATTGGGGAAAAAAAAGAAAAAAGGGGGGCAGAGAAAGAGAGAGAGAGAGACGCGTCCAATGCCAACAGTGGGGAGATAAAACAATGCTAACACGCTCGGAACTGTAAAGGGAAGTGGTGCGGAGGTTTGTAGTCTATCAAAGTTTGGCCGCAGTTGGGCAAAGTTTCTCCAGACTTCTTGCCGTTTGTTTCGGTGTTTTAATCCCGTGGAGGAGCATCTTTTCGCGGCTTTAATGCCCGTGTGGAGCTAGTTTGTATCGCGACAAATCTGTTCAGTAGCATCGCGTACAACAACGGCTAACGGCAGGGAGTGGCGCGTACCATCCCGAGCAGGGGGGGATCACTCGGCATCACATGTCCGAATAGTTTGTAAGATTCCCATTGTAGGGAAAAATCAATTCACGTGTGATCCAAAGGATTTTTATAAATGCTATACTCGCGATTAGAAGAAGGAAATGTAAGAGAAGTGAAAATATAAATGCGCTTGCAGGGTGATCTCCCCCGCGAAACAACAAATGGACGCATCCTCGATGAGAAGCTGGCTGGTAGAATAAAACGAGGCGTTTGGAAATACCCGCATCCCCTGACATGCAGAGGCGTCCTGCTATATTTAAAGTAACACGCTTTGATGCTTGATTTTTTTTGTAATTTAAAAAAAAAAGCACAACATATAGCGATGATTTTATGGGTCATTATGGAGTCTGACGTAATGAGGGGCTTCGGGGGGTGTGGTGGTGGTGGTGGTGGTGGTGGAGGAGCTGCTGGGATGTGGGTCACCATTGCGCCCCAGACCAGACGACACCTTCCCTCCTCTTCCTCCTCTCTGCGTCTCATGTGGGAGTTGGGAGACAGATATAGGCCGGCTGGAGAGGATGCATGCATCTCCCGCACTCACACACAAACACACGCGCCGCCGCACGCACACCAAGTGTAGTAACGCGTCATGTTGTGGCCACATGAGGGCAGTGCATTTGCAAACTTTCCAGCCAATGAAGTTAGTAAAGTCAAATGTTTTATTTTTTATTTTTTGCACTAATTTATGTGTTTAAAAACAGATTTGCTGTGTGGGTCTTGCAGCTTTGAAGCTCAGCCCACAAATCTTTAGATTTTAAGCTCATATTTGCACCATTTTCAAGTTTTTTCAGAGGAAAATGGATATAAAATATAAAACAATGTGCTCTATGCTCAGATTTGTGTGAAATGTGAGATTTCCAAAGCAATATATGTCAAAAGTGTGCCTTAAAAATGCTTGTTTTCAATGCTTAGATCAATGGTGTCGTATAATTTTTAATTTCCCAGGCAATTTTCTCCCACAGAATTCTTATTTTTGTAAAACAACCTAACAAAAAGATCATTTAGATCCACGGCTCTTCATTAAACATATGAAGCAGCTGCTTTGTCGCATATAAATTGTTAAGCAAAACTGTTTCATTCTTTAATGTACAACTCTTTGTTCAAAATCTCTGCAAAAATTATTCCCATGAAAAAGTGTGTGCACTCAAGTCTTGGTTGCTCCAAACGCAGCGCCAAACGAAAGATTGCTTCACCTCTTCAGAAGCAGCAAAACAAAAGGACCAAAAAAACAATTAGTCACTCTGAGAAATACCCCATCTGCAGAGATTCTGTTACGATCTTGAGGCATTGTTGGCTCGGCCCAGAAATCTTTAGCTTTTAAACCGATAATTGCACAATGCTCAAGTTGCTTCAGTTAAAAAAAATGAATGTAAAATTCTTTCCACTCATTCCATGATCCACATTCATATTGCAGTGTCTGCAGGCAGCTGTGTGCATTGGAATTAGTCTTATTTATGATGATTCACACAAATAGAATCAGATGTAAAGGTGTGCCTTGTGCCAAAAACACACTGAGCTGGACGAGAGCTGCCAACTTGTAGCCATCAGCTGGTTGCTATACCTGATAGGTTATTTAAAGCTCATTTTAATTTTGAATAATAATAATTTGTGACCCTTTAAATAGTCCAGGAGATGAGATGTAGCTGTTGGAGAGAGGACAAAGTTCACCATTAAAGTCCAATTACACAACACTCTAAATAAATACCAATCAGAGCCAATCTGAACTTACCCTGGATTAAACTGAAGCTATGAAATATAATCTGAGTTCCTTCCTTAAAAGTAGGTTGTTATCAGTGGCAATAACTGTAAATGTCAGAATCAGGTTAAAAGTCTCAAAGCTTCCCTTTTTGAGAATTTTTGTAGTTTTCTTTCTGGTCTTATCGACTTCCTACTTCTGGCTTTATTTTTTTTTATTGTTGGTTTTAACTTATATTATGCTTGTCTTTCATTTCCTCCTTTAGTGTTGATGGATACTTTATTATAATGGCTTTTATTTGTGTTTATTTCTTTCTTGGTCCATTGCAGTGGTGGAAAAAAAATACTTTACTTAAGCAAAAATGCATTCATATTAGCAGCTAATTGTAGTTAAAGTATTGCTAGAGCTGCTGCAGGTTTAAACTAGTTTATATCCAGTTTTATATTCAGGGACAGCAGATAAATCTGAAGGCTCCAAACATGATTAATGGTAGAAGGGAAAAAGAAAAAACAAACTTCTGCTAAACAAATGGCTTTTTCAGTTTTGGGACTTTTTCTCTAATTGTTGATTTTGGCTCATTGAAACATTTATTGAATTGTGAGAAGTTTAGAGGGAAAAATCTCTATTTGGTGGAGCTGTGAACAACTCACAGATGTGAAATGTTGATGTGACTGCACACTGCTTTTTGGAAGAAGTCTGGTTTAATCTGTAGCTATGTGTTGTATAAAACTTATCATATTATCCATTGTGAAAATCTGCAGCCAAAAAAAGCTGTCAGATAAATGTAGAAAGGAGTAGAAAGTGTAATATTTCCCTCTGAAATGTAGTAGATTGGACGGATGAAGCAGCGAAAAATGCAAATACTGAAGATAAGATCTTCAAAATGTACGTAGTTACTTCCCTTCACTGTTCCGTTACCTCTGCTGTGTTCCAGTCTGGCTGTTTTCAGGGTGACGGCCTACAGTTACCATATGTACCCTGGTCGCTGCTCATTGTTATTTTATGAGACTAGAAAGCAAAACCTTAGCTGCAGGCTTTTTGGACAGAACCCAGAGCCTGGGTGTCAGTAACAGAGAGCGTTCGTCTCCACGGCGGCGTTTCTGCCTTCATCTGCGACCCGATTCGTGTCCTGGCTGCCTGGTGTAACGTGCAGCGGCATGCACGCCGGCTGAAAGGCGCCGCGCTGCTCTCTGCACGACTCTGCAGTGTGTGTGGGGATGTCGGCCCGTGTTATCGGTTGTGTTGGATGACGTTTAAACATTTGCCTGTTGCAAATTTACAGATGAGTCATGTGATAATCATTTGAAGAGGGACACTGTCGTGCCCTCACACAGCAAAGTGCTTCTGATGAGTCATGAATGAGCTAAAGCAGACACACCCTTGTTTTATGAACAGCAGCCTGCTGCAGAGTAACTAATCAACCAGCCCCGGTGCTGACTCACCTCTTATGGGTATCCAGAGAGTACAGCAGAAGTTTCACCTCTAGCATACTTTTCTTCTGAAACTGGATGGACCAGATGTGTGTAAGTGCTTGTTTCAGTCTTTCTCCACAGTGTAGGATTAAGGTCACACCCTCCTCGCTCTCTGCCTCCCAAATTCTCCTGCTCTGTCCTTGTTTGGCAGCGGTTCAGCATGAAAACATTTCTTGGCCTCAGTCGTGCAAAATGAATCCTCACTGCTCCCCTTAATTTACACAGTTTATGGCTGAGGTTCCAGTTTGGGGTTATTTACTCGTCTAGTCGAACCAGGAATGCGAAGAATCCTCTGAATGAAAACAAGCCCACTCTGTGTGTGATAACTGCTGTATATTAATGATCATAGCGTAGATTTCAGCAGGGATGCAGGGATATATCCTGTAAATACGTCCTCCACAAAACACTTTACTCATTGTGCCTGACATTTACACCACAAATTGATGCAGGAAAGGCATAAATTGGTGCTGAAAAAAAATCACCAGAATGCAGAAAATGAAGTGTTTCATGCTCAGAATTTCCTCAGGGAGGACAAACAGATGCCCCACCAAATCTGTCCTCTCCAAATGCTCAAATGATGCACTTTTCAGTTTGAAATTGGTCCTCAACATAATTAAGTAAACAAATATTTGCTCTTCTCTAGAGCCAGAGATATTGTGGATGACAGTTTGCGTTATATAGCACTCAAAAATTTAGATTTGAATTTCATATTGACACACTCATTGGTGAGATGGGACAGAAAATTGGTTATCTGTTCAGAAAAAGGCAATTTTTCCTTGTACAGTATAAGCAAATAATAATCAATAATAATTAGTGACCTTCTTTGGGAGTAAGAGATGACAAACATTGCTTTTTTTTAATTTATAAGGCGCTAAATTGCAAGATGCCACCAAACATAACTTAAACATTTAACAACAAACATTAAAACTTAACACAGCTGTACCTGTGTGTCGATTTAAAACCAGAAATACAAACTACTCCACTCTTGAATGCCACCGTTTTTTGTTAACTTTGTCATTTGTTTTCTCATTAATTATTGCTCTCAGAGATTTAAATACAGGTAAGTGACTAAATGTAATAAAATCTACATCTATACCGAGCAGTTTTTTGATCAACTGGCCCGTCAAAACATTGGGCTTATATTATATTTGTTAGATTTTTGGTAGACTTTAAATACACATTTTACTTTTACACAAGGGGTTCTGAAATCATATACATAGCAACATGTTTTCCGTATGCAAAGCAACTTCCAAGAAAACCAAGAAACCCATAAACAGCTCTGTTCTGAATTAATAAACATGCGTGGGCGTACGTTTTGTTTGAACCTTGACTGAGACACATTCATTCTGAGCATCTAACACTTCATTTTCTGCATTCTGGCAAATTTTTATGCACCAGTTTGTTCCTTATCTGCATCGATTCACTGTGGAAATGTCTTCATTTATATAAATGAAAACATAGCGGACACTTTACAACATGATGCAGTGAAGCTTTCAGGCATTCTCTAGCGCTTTCAGATATTTATCATACAATAGATCAACTTTTCTGATTTAATTTGAAGAATGTTCTAAATGAGTACAAACCCGCTCCATGCCTGATAACAGCTGTGTATATTTAACGAGCATACGTGTTGATTTGAGGGGGCGTATGTGTGCTGCTCTATTTTGAATCATTCGATATTTGTTTAGTGATATCACAGAGTTTTGTTGTAAGCTGTAATAGTTAATGGAATATCTTTGGGTTTTGGTCAGATAGGGAAAAGAAAACTATTAAA